AAAATATGACTCAAATTAGATCAAAAATTTCTGCCAATGGACAGAAAATTTTACTTTGTAAGATTCTTGAAATAAGAAAAAAATTGAGTCAAATCAAGTTTTTCAAGAATCTTACCAAGTAAAATGTTCTTACTCCACTGGCAGAAATTTTTGACCTAATTTGAGTCAAATTTTCAGACTAACAAGACAAATAATCTTACACATTCTGAAAACAAGATGATTATTCTTACACAATCAGTTCTTGTTTAGTAAATCAGTCTGAAAACAAGATCAAAAAGACTTTTTGGTTGATATAAGGTTTTAAAACTTGGTAAGATGGACAGTGTTTGCAGTGTGGACACCAGGTGGTCTTGCATCTGGAGGGTGGGTATGGGGTTAACTWACTCTCAGTCTTTTAGGGAACTTCAGGCACTGGTTAGAGCTCAAAAACAAGAAGGAGGAGGCCGGTTCAGCTGAAAGAAACTGTTTTTCGTTTGTTTAATGAAAAGTAACGAGACATCAGGAGGGAGGGGAAGAACAAAAACTAATCAACAACYGAAAAGAGTTTGTTAAATCAGTTTGTTCATCGCTGTTCGGCAGCAGATCAGCAGTTTGTTTCTTKGACTGGTAATAAGACGACATGGAGCCTTCGGACACGTGAGCAGCTGCTTTGTGKTTAAGCAGCTCGCTGTGAGCAGCTTGAGCAACACGTGGACCTGAAGCAGCCGACTCCAGCCATGAGTTGAGCTGTSACTCAGGCGCTGCCTGCCTGACGGGCCTTCACTGCTCTGCTCCACGCTGGGCAGGTTCTCAGCAGCTTCATCCTGTCTGTGCMGCTCCAAGCATCAACGGATTAAGGCAGATTAGGCCTAATCTACACCACAGCTCCTGAACGAGTTGTTTTTATTCTTTTTTCATAAAAAGCAATTATTCATTTGGTCTGTTATAAAAACAGAAAAAAGAAGCTAACTTTTCTTGTTGCCATGAGATCACAGCTCTGCTCTCTGATGAGACTCTAACCCAGATCAGTGGTTCCCAAACKTTTCAGCTTTTGACCCACAAAATAAAATSAGCTGTTGTTGGATCATAAACATTGTTTTCACCTCAAATAAACAAGAGCAAAGTAACATTATTTATTACAGTATGTTTGTCCATTTTATACAACAGACTATTAGGGCCACACAACAAGATTTTTTATTGTTTTAAATTACGAGAATAAAGTCATAATATTTCAACATTAATGTCGGATGAAAAATAAAGTCATAATATTATGAGTTTAAC